ATGCTATACTAAACTATTTTAAACCAGTATGGAAAATAAAATTTATTTACACTACACGCCGTGAGCGTGTCTAGCTCGTTCGTGAATTCAATGTACGCCCGCTCTAACCTCACGTGCGGAACCCTAACCTGGTCCCAAAGGTACGCCCACATCGGCTGCCAACGTGGAGGCTGACCTAGGAACCACTTACGACTAGCCAGAACCTTAGGACAGCCAACTAGTAGACGAGCCCACATCCACAACTGGAGCAGGTACACGCATCCACCAAGTGACGATAAGGGCGAAGTCCGATGACACATCTCGCAAAGTTGCCGGTAAAGAAAACCCAATACTGCAGAACCCCAGCTGTACTGACCCGCCTGGTCCTAGTCAGTGAGGCAGTGGACCCACATCCATGACGCAGTGTTACCTGTGGCGTCAGGGAAGAGAACGCAGGCAAACAGGTGTAGGATCCACGCCCTGCAGTACTACCCAACTGTCTCCTCATCTGCCTCCTCGGGGCATTGTGCGAACTCTTGCCGGAGTCAGGAGATTAGAACTCCAGAACTGTGAGCCCCTAGCTCGCCAATCTCATGCCTAAGAAAGGCCTCTACTCATGCTCTCCAACCTTCTGACCTGCACTGCCTAGTCACTATGTTGCCATGAATCCTCAGACTTAGCATCTTCTGATAGTCCTGGAGTGTGACTGTCATCTCTCCGAAAGGCAAGCGAAAGCCGTGTCTCCGGCCGCCACCTACATTTTAGACAAAGTAAGATTACATGTCAAAAAGGCAAGCGCATGAACAAATGGCCATGAATGGAGGCAATGATTGAAGATAATACCTATCAACCAACGTAGTTATGGCCGCTGAGTTGAACTTGGGCAACCCACAACGAACCTGAAAAGAGATGACATCTAGGCTAGCTCTTTGTAGAAAAGGAGTGTACCTATTATCGTACTGCATGTCCAAGAACCCATTGTGGGTTCTAGGACGAAGGAGCGGAAGGTCCTACATGAAATAAAACATAGTCTCCCGTTACTTCACGAACACATGTACGCTCACAAAAATTTGAACAAGACGTATAGATTATTACCCGCCCCTCCGCTACGAGACGTCCTCGGTGGGTTTCCTCGTACGCCGGGTCGAGCAGGTGGAATTGCGCCATCCTAAAAAAAGTCAATGAAATAGAAATTCAATATATAATGAAACATAAACTTAGAAATATACAAGTAATTGACACAATTACAAGCATAAATTGAGACATGCATAATTAATTGAATGAATACGACAAATATGAAATAATGAAAACAATCAATAGTCGCACCTCACTAATCTGCCAATGGCAAGTGCGTGAATTGTGGCCCAGACTATCGCACTTGCCGCACTCATATTGCTCGAGGTCAGTAAGAAATGGGGTTCCTCTCCCACATCTCGTTCTTCCGGGTATCTGATCCATAACCATCCTGTGCCTCGTCCTCTTCCTTAATCCACGCTTGTTCCAACGGTAAGCTGGATCCGCAATGTACTTTGGCCCATCATATGTAGGCCACTCTCTAGTGTCCTATAAAGGCACGAAGTGGGGGCTCCATGTGTCAATCCCCAATAGCAACTTATTGAATGACTCTGCCATGTTGCTGCACTGAAACTCGTACATCCATTCACTGGCGTCGTGAGCTCTTGTCTATTTCTCCAAATTCCTCATCAAACCTGTGAGCCATTGTCTACCTTCTGCATTTGATGCGGTTCTGACCTGCTCCAACTTTTTCTGAAAGTACTTGTCCTCAAGCTGTCGAGTAGCCTCCTGGAACAGATCAAAGTTATCCTTCACACCATCCTTCCGGAGTAAATTCTCGGCAAGCTACCGAGTACACCAACGATGGTGCAAAGGTGCATACCCCTCTATCTGCTCTCGCACGGCATTAAGTATGCCCTGGTGCCTATCAGATATGACGCCAACCTCCCTGTCAGGCACAACCACATGTATCCGAACTAGCCTCAAGAACCATCCCCAACTGTCATTGTTCTCCTTCTCAACCAAAGCAAATGCCAAAAAAACCAACTTATTGTTCGCGTCACAGGATATGACTATAAGAATTGTGTCATAATATTTGCCAATCAAGAACGTACCATCAATGGAGAAGACGGGACGATAGTGTCTAAAGGCCTCGACACACTGAGGGAAGCACTAGAAAGTATGGAAGAATATCTGCCTCCTATCCTTTCATGCATTTGGTTTTGGGATGTACTCATAATGCATGCCTGGATTCACCGCTTTGATTGTATTGAAAAGTACTGGCAGCTGCTCATATCCATCCTCCCAGTCCCATATATCATCTTCCGTGCTCACTACTTAGCCCTCCAAGCTTTACCATAAGTTATCACATAACCACCATACAACGCATCAACGGTCATGATAATTGTCCTAACCTTTAGGTTGGGTTCTTCCTGCAATATTTCCATCAACCTCTTGGTAATGATGGTAGATGTCAACTACCGATGCTTCAGTGTTAGCACATGGTCAGCATAATTGTGTGGCCCGACAACTTTTCTGATCTTCCACTTTTCGGTGACCTTTTGTTTTCTTGCACAAATCCTCCATGGGCAGCGTTCTTTGTCATATACAACTGTGTAATGACGCTCCGCATATGAATTCAAGACCTTGTAAGGTCTAATTCGTATTACTACAAATGCTTGCAACCACCCATTCAATGCAGGGATGTCCTTGAATATCATACCCTTCACAATTACCATGTTAGGGCCAGCCTCAGGAGCTTCTAGGAGCTCATCATCATGTCCTTCTGTACACGCCTGATCGAAATAAGCAAGATCACTGAACTCGTGGACTCTTGGATCACGGCGGTCGGGAAAGATACGCCTCATCATCTCAACATCACTCTATGTTAGCTCTCAAATAGGACGATCATCATCAGAATCAAGAGCCCTTGTCATCTCATATGGCTCCGAATCATTTATAATTTCAACACTATTGGAGCCACGAAATCCATCTCCATAGTGCACTTACGCAGCAACAGTGGGCACATCCACATTGTCAGGAATGTCTCGTGCAACATAAGTAGAAAAATGAGGAAAGAATAAAAAAATGGATGTAAGAAAGGGGGTAAGCTCCCAATAATCATGCGGATAAGACACTTACTCAGATGATTCTGTGTCAAAGGAATCTCATGAGGAGGATCTGCCACAAAATCATGAGTCTGACAAGCATCTCCAACTAGCTCATTGGAGGCAGATTGAGCATCGAAAATCGTAGGTGTAACCTTCACATCCATATTAGATTCCGGAACGAGAGGGTCAAAGTGTGACTGCTGACCCATTAGTGGGGAAAACCCATGAGGGATGGGATCAACTAACACCCGACGCACAACCACATCCAAACTTTGGAACTGACACTTTATAGCCGATCTCACTTAGTTCTCCCACTGGTCTGCACATCCAATTGGGATCATCTTCCTTAGGATGTTGGGAGGGGAACCTAGGTGAAGTACACCCTCCACTGCGATGCCACCATCATCATCAGCTCCATAGCAATGTAGCTCATCCCGAGCCCTTGCAACCAACTCACTAAATGAAGGCTTCTCATTGAATAACATATGCACGCTTTGTATCTCAACAAACTCAACATATTCATAGCGATCTCTTTCCATGGTGCCTCCATAATATATGCTCACTAGGTTGTCTATCTAGTAGTTCAAATAAAAATTAAAATACAATTCGTTTAGTCCAAAGTAGCTGCTATATAGTACCTCTCTAATAGATACTAACCAACTACACCATAAATAACTACGTCACTATCTATCTAACTATATTTATCTCACTAACTAAATCAACTAGCTATCTAATAACTATATCTATGTACCTATGTCACTAGCTATCTAACTATATCTATCTCACTAACTAAATCAATTACCTACATCATCAAATTTACTAGAACTACCAAATAATCAAAATAGCACTACAATTCAAGCTAACTAAGTACCTATATTACATATTCAAAAAATTTACCTGTCCAAGTCAATGCAACGATGTGACGTGGACGCGGACGCTAGGACCGGAGCAGGACGGGGACGCGGAGGACAGGATCGATGGCGAGGTCGCGGCGCGCTGGGAGTAGGGGCCGTGTCGCGACCGGAGTCGCCGGAGGGAGGCTTATGCGCACAGCGAGCCGGGACGGACGAGGTGGTGTGGGCCGGGAGGGGCGCACGCACGGACTGGAGGGGCCAGAGAGGAGGGATGGCGGCAAGGCGGGAGACGATCGAGGAGCTCCGCCTGCGGCAAGGCGGCTCGAAGGGTTGGGTTGGGATACGCAGACGACGGGGCCGGACGCAAGGCGCTTGGGATCGGCAAGGTTAGGGCCGCATGAACCTCTGGAGACTACAGTCTTGGCAATGACAAGGGCGGCGGCGGTTGACAATACAATGACGGCTGGCTCTGGCTCGGGAGCGGTAGAGAGAGAGGAAGAGAGAAAGGAAGGAAAGACCCATACGTAAGACAGGGCTTGGCGTTAAGATCTACGGCACCAAGGTGCCTGCTAAGTCACCGCCATGTCTGCGTCGAGCCCAAGACCTAGACGGTAAAATTTATGACGCCGAGACGTGTAAGCTCGGCGTCACCAACGATGGCGCCGAGCTAAGGTCTCGTTCGCTTCGCTGGAAAAACGAGCTGAAAAACTGTTCCGTCTGATTTGTTGTAGAGAAAAATACTGTTCCGCTTGAAAAGACAAGCTAAAAAGTTCGGATTATAAGATAAACGAACATGATCTATTGGTCCAGATTTTAAAAGCATATCTTCATCGGCATATTTGTGAATTTTTTTAAAAAAAAGGGCTAAAAAAAAAATCGGACGACGAAGACACGGAAAGGTTGGTGAAGGAGCGAAGAAAACGAAAGGCGGCCTCTCACTCGCAGTCGCAGGTTCTAGACCACCAAACCCAGCGGCTCCGCTCATCTCAGGTCGGCTCTCGCATTCCTCACAGATTTGCAGTTTTGCTGGGCGGACTGCGGAATGGGGGGCGGATCCGGATCTTTCCTCAAGGTCTTGGTCAACAACTTGGATGTTCTCGCGGGGTACGCATTCCTGATCTGATTCCCCCTTCAGATGCTTAGCTCTTGAGCTGCTTGATGCTCGTCTCTGCGTTTCCCGTACGATTCCTGAGCGGTGCTGCTATTTCACTCGAGATGCAGCGTTATCCTGTTCTCTCAAGTCACCTAGACGGAACGTGCTCGAATCATTGCGTGATTTGTGGACAGCGGTGCTGGGAATTTGCGGTTGCAGTGCGTATATTATGGCTGGGTTCAGGGTTTTTCGTTCAGCAGAGGTTGTTCGTACCAGTAGTATCAGCAAACAAAGGGCGAGTGACTGCGAGCCTACCCAAAGACCTGATGTGGAGCTGAGCATGATTAATGAAATCGTGAAATGTCATGTAACCTTCCAGATTAGGCTTCGGCATTTTGGTCCTGGAAGGAGCGTGTTAAATTTCCAAAAAGGAGCGGAGAAGGAAAAAAAAACTATTATGTCCATCCACGACCAAGATTTTGTGAAAAAATCGGTTAGCAAATAAGATTTGACCAAATGATGGACCCTATGATGCTGACATTCTGTTAGTGATGCTGGTGTTCTTTCTTTTTAGATTAGTGGATCTTTGTTGATGGACCGACCCCATAAGGATGGAATTTTAAGCTATTAGCTTCTTATGATTTTACAACTTCTGCAGAATTACTAGTATCTTCGATTGCATATCAGTATCATAATCAGGATAGCTTCTCCTTATAGGACATGATAATACATAAGCACGTGATATCCAGAGAATATGCCAAACTGCCTAACTGGTGGTTGCTAAATGTGATAGCTTTTACCTGTGTGTTTGCTTTCTGTCAGTCAAGTAAAAATTAGGTGCAGTTATGGATTTTGAATATCACTGAATGTTCAGCTGCAATTTGAAGAATTTTTAATCCTCTATTTGTTTGTCTTTGCAGGCCTGTAGTTTCACTTGCATATCCTCTGTAAGTTAATCCATTAACCTTTTAGATAAACATATAGACGCTAACTGTCTTCCATTTGATGGTTATTGTTTCTCTCTTACCTCATTGGACGTTTTCCACAGGTATGCCTCTGTTAGAGCAATTGAAACAAAATCTGCTGTAGATGATCAGCAATGGCTCACATACTGGGTGCTGTACTCATTTATCACTCTATTCGAGCTCACCTTTGCTCCAGTACTCGAATGGTAAAAACAACAAACTTTCTGCACAAGTGCACATTTCATCTTAGCTTTAGTTTGGTGTGCATCTTCGAACTTACCATGATGGTCATATGTGGAATATTTTTTAGGGCTATAAACAATAGTACCTTGATTTCCTTGCTATTGACTTTCTTTGGTTTAGTACTGCACTTCATGATTCACCGCTATCTCATGATTTGGTTGATAAGATTCTTGGATGTGGATACATCATGAGATGAATGGAAATGCTCATCGCAGGCATAACTTTGCACTTTGCAGGCTCCCTTTCTGGTCTTATGCGAAACTGTTTTTCAATTGCTGGTTAGTATTGCCACAGTTCAATGGAGCTGCACATGTATATGAGCATTTTGTGAGGCCAATGATTGTAAATCAGCAAGTTGTAAACATCTGGTATATTCCAAAGAAGGATGAATCAAGCAGGCCTGATGATGTAATTTCAGCTGCACAGAGATACATTGAGCAAAATGGAACAAAAGCGTTTGAGAATCTTGTTAACAAGGTATTATCTGTTTCCTGTTAAATTTTACCATTCTCATTTGTGAAAATAGTGGCCACTTGGCACCAGTTAGTTTGTTTGTGCTGTGAGAAGCACAGCAAAGTGACTCTACAAGTCTACAGTGATGCTGCTGCTCTAATGATTGATGATATGGCAGTGTGGTTTTTGTTATGCATACTACGGAATTTCAGTTAACAACTGTTGTTATCTTCTATCAAATGTTGTTTTAGTGATTTCCTACATTCTAAAAAAAACTTGACAGCTGGAGAGAGACTGCCTCCATGGTTTTGCACATTTTCCACATTCTTAGGCCTTTATACCTTACTGAAAGGCTTATTACCAGAATGAGCTTTAAATCGGGATGAAATAGCTGGGGTTTATCTTGCAGAAATTGTGTAAGGACTCTCTATGACAAAGCTGAGGGCAAATGAGGGTGACATAGAGTTTGACAGCTTGTGGTGCTCTTATGAGCTAGGTTCACTTTTGCAGCTTTTAGGCATTATTCATTAAGTTTGCTTGTTGAGCTTAACACAAAACTGAACAAAAGTTGGCTTGGTGAGTTTTACACAAAACTGAATAAAGTGTTTTTTTAAGATGATGGAAGTCTTAACTTCCAGCCTTGGCATCAAAACTGAATTAAGTTAGTTTATGAAAATCAAAGGGACAATCCCTTAGCAGTTAGCAGGCGCTCTTTTATCCCATTTTGCCCAAAATGTGGAAACATCATTTTACTGTTTATAGAATGACAAGGCTTTCGGCTATCCAGTGACCTAGTCCAATTTTTATTGAAAAAAACTGTATGGCATATGGCACATTACCTTAATTCTTTTCTGTTTTGTAGCTAATATTTATCTTTGGTTTACTTCCTCGAATATTTTCCTTAAATCAAGGGATCTTCATCTTAAAAAAGGAGATCTTGGAGTTCATCTGAAAAAAAAGGATCTTAGGAACATAAATATTCACGTTTCACATGTGCAGTTTAAGAGTTCAAACCCAAAGCGCTCAATTCTGGAGGAGGTAGAGGTTGAAAGGAGAGCCAGGATTCAACGAGAATCTGAAGCGAGGGAAGTGAACCCTTTCTTCAATCCAGAATATCAATACTAGGCAACCCTTTTTCTTTCACTCGCCAGGTGAGCTTAGCTGCATCATTTATGCCCTCCTGCCCCCATCAATGTTTCTAAGTCTTATATGTCTCATTTTCTTGAAAAAAAAATATGTGTTCGTTCAGACCTTTGCAAGGTAACTTTTCTAAGTATTTGTGCTTTGATAATTTATACTCAATGCAGGAATGTGCTAGGATCAGTTTGGAGGAAGATGTCTGGATATTAGCACACTGCATTTTGCACCTACCGAGTCGATAATATTGTGTAGCTGGACAACCATGCATGATTGTTGTAAATGTGTTGTAGCGATGGAACTCCTTCGTATAATGGTCATGTCATGAATATTTCATGTTGCTGAAAATTATGTATTCGTGACACTGGACTCTAGTTATGTGCCTCGCTGGTTTCATGCAGGTAGTTGTTGATCTAGGTATTTCTTCGTCTCTTATCTGATATATGTGTAAACCATGTGGCACTGCCATGGGAGGTTGACTATCCGGATGTTATGTTTTTATTAAGGCTGCCAGGAGCACTGACCGTGCACTCAAATGTGGATGAGGCTGTCCGAGCAGTCTGCCTACCGAGCCTCACGCCCAGTAGTCGGTCCCCTTGGTGCGACATCCAAGTGTCGATCTTAATTCTTAGGTTGGCAGCCTAGCCACTGCCAGAGCTACCACCGAGCTACGAGCTGTTCACTATCCAAATTGTTCGAGAGGTCACAAGTGAGGGCATTGAAGCAACGACCATCTCAGTTCTGAGACAAGGCTCTCAATAGATTGGATTATGTAGAGCGTATCCTGTACTCCCAGTAGGTTTGGTACTCCGTTGCAAGATTTATCCATGCATATTTTGGTTGTAATTTTGTGTGTGATTCTTGATGTGTTTTTTGTGGTGTGGGAGCACGGGAGCACCTGAACTTTCCACTGGGAGTAGGTGGCAGAAACTCCCGAAATCGTAAAGAGATCCACAGGGCAGCTGGAGAGATCAACCAATGCAGGCTTTGGTTCAACCGATTTGTGCATTGTGAGAAATCGCTGGTTCAGTAGTTCTGGTTGGAAGTGGCGGTGAATTGATGATGGAAATGGAATCATGGAAAATCTCGATCTGTTCCGACGTCGTGGCCAGGCCAGCATTCTGTTTATCCAACAAATCATCACTCATGAAATTCAGCTCGAGGTCACGGCGTCGCTGCACTCCATCGTGGGTCCGCGACCAGCACCACAGGCTCTCCTGGGCCCTGGCTCCTCACGCGGACCGCGCTCCTCCTGATCCCATCCTGCCGGATGTCCGCTTCGGCTGTTTTCACAAAAACGCTCACGCACCGGCCGCCAACCAACCAACCCCGTGCCAGCAAAATACGACAAGCGACCGCCAGGTAGTTAAGGGTGTGTGTGCAAACAACCGCTGAAGGAAAAGTAAACGTGAATACAAGACAAACGTAAATGCGGCTTGTGGGGCATTTTTTGTGAGGAAAGTGCAAGCAGAAGGCATGGATACCAAAGGTTTTTTAAAAGAAGTGGCAAACGCCCAGGTAAAACGCATTGCCTCAAGATCATACACAAGGAACATTCTTTAGAAAGATTTGAGGAAAGTGCAATCTGATAACACGAAGCTATCAAACAGTAAACATGGACTTGCTTACATTTTCAGAAAGATCTATCCTACAAAGCCTTATGATACACAAGCTCAAAATCTTCCTGGCACAATTTTTGCTAGTGGGTCGATTTACTGTAATCTTAAGCCTTGTAAAGCAGGAATATTGACAAACTGCAACTAGTTCTTCTATCTGTATGTACCAACTACGCTCCATATATGTCTGGCCAAATCTGCTCGATCAACAATCACTGCATTGAACTTGAAGTCATTCTTCTGGCTTGGATGCGAGCAGCCTCAAACCTTCTCCTTCTATACAGTGCATACCCTTGTCGACATAGTTGCTTCGGTCAAAATTAGTCACGGCATTTTTGCCACGTATCTCAATGGCAGCAATATCATAAGCCTCTGCGGCTTCTTCCTCCGTTTCTGAAACAAAATAAAAATCATCAGTAAACTCAAATCAGTTACTTTTCAACAGCATGTGTAAATCACAGTTCATGTGTTGCATACTGAATGTTCCCAGGTAAATGTCTCTAGTTCCAGCAACCAGTCCTATGCGTGCTTGCCATCGCCCATCTTTCTGCCTTCTGCCATATGACAAGATTGTAGTTTAGTTTCAGTATAACATACAGAAAAAAAAGGTAATGCTTTGAAGTCTCAGCAAGCTCAACAAAACTAATAAAAGAAAGGTAACCTTGTCACTCCTCTGTAAATAGAAGCTCCTCTTGAAAAGCAGCTGCTCCTCCTGTAGGATGAGACAAATTACTGTGGTAGCCGTTTCTCTACAGTGTTATAAATGGGGAAGATTGGTAACATACCTTCTCAAGTATGTCACACATTCCTCTCGAGACAAATCCCTTATGTCCTCCAATTCCTTTCCATATTGTTCAATCTGGAACAATTCTGACATGTATAAGACCATGTAACTGAAAAAAATATCACTGAAGCCAAAGGAAAAGAACTTGCCGGAAAGTTTAGTCTGGTATTTTGGCCCCAGTATTTAATAGCAGCAACATCATAAGCCCTGGCAGCTTTTTCCTCGGTATCATAACTTCCTGCAAGGTATGGAATTTAGGGGGAAATAGTCAAACCTTAAACACAAGAACCAAGATGAAGATAAATGAATTAACAATAGTTACCTAGATAAACTGAAGCGCCGCCACATCAGAACACCATTGCAAGAAACCGTTAGTACAAGTCACAGATAACTAAATACACATCATACGGAAAGAAATAAAATAATAGATTGTCATAGAAACAGTATCATCTTTGATGGTGGTACTTTATCTCTCCAGCGATGCAAAAAAGTCTTTCAGGGAAGTACTAGCTTTAGTGCTTTACTAGTTCATAGGGCTATTTCATTGAAGAGTGCGCTCTTAGAACAGGGCTGAATAATTTCTAAATACTTTTATGTTCTCATGATAAAACGTACGATGAATGGATGCAAACAAATAAGAATATGTATCTTATCATCTTATCGGTTTAGATATGTGGATTGCTTAGGTTTTATTGCGCATAGGATTTGGATGTCAATTTCTGAGCTATTTTCAAAATCTAAAAGCCTTTACTTGTTTATTTTTATTCACAGTTATTGATAAATTGCTCCATTATATCATTTTTTCCATTGCTACTGAATCAATATACAGCACGTGCATGGTAACCACTATATAGAAAAAAAAAACAGTAGGGACCATCACTGATGTTTCTTAATGTATATATACAATCCAAGGAAAAAAAAAGCTATATATACTAGAAACAGTTGATATGACATACTAGGTAAAAACAACTTAAATAACTAACAACAAAATGATTCTGATCCACTACAGGACAATGTCTATTAAGAGTACAAGTTAATTAATGTTTATAGGAATTTAATAAAGGATGCAACCATTTTTGTAGCTATACTTGGCTGCTTCCACTACAAGACAATGTCTATTAACAGTACAAGTTAATTGATGTTTAGAAGGTGACAAAACGTGAGATCAATTAGGCACATCACATACTTTTCGCCTATTGCATCTAAATGTAAGCTGACCTACTTTTGCAGGAGCTTGCTAATCCAATAATCGCAGCTCAAGTGTGCAGTGCCAGAAATAGTAAGTGAACCAACCAATATAGGGCACATAAATATCTTAACACGCATGTGTGGAACTAGGACAGATGATAAAGTTCATAATGCAAAAAAAAAAAACTAACTTCAATACTGACTGACAACAAAAGAAACATGACACTGACTGAAGAATGATATGGCATACATAATTACATACAATTTTTAGTACTGGTTCAGAAAGGCATAGTTTGTACTAAATGAAGGGTGGCCTGGACAGAGCTATCAAATTTGTAGCTCTTCTATAATTGGACAAGAACCTAGTTCTGTTCTCTCACTGCTACAGAAAATATTGCCCAAGATTCTCACTCAATGATCGATAAATGAGAAGATGACAGAGAAATAAATGCACAATATTAGCTCACAAGGAAACCTATTTTCTTTACATGGCCAGATTTCTATATCTGGTAATGCCATGGAATCAATATTTACTAACAAAAGGTAATGGTTCAGTATATAAACAGTAAATCTCCTTTAGATTAAAGGTCTCATACTGCTGGTTAGATGGTTAAAAATAAATGGATACCTTGTTTCCCTTTCCTTCTACGTCCCTCTACTCTGCAAGAACTGTCCCACAAATGAGCTTCATATTTCCCACTCCATCTATGCCTGCACAAATTGATGATACTTTGGCAAATTGTCCCAGTATGCTCAACACTTCAACAGACAAGGCGTATTTAATTAAGATACCAAAGTGATAAATCAATTGCATTGTTTGTCTCCCCTTAGCAACTATTACAAATTACAAGGACACACACCACACTCACCTGGTCACACCATGGAAACTTGATGATCGGGAGCCAGCAGGTCGCACCGCAGAAGTGGCGGCAGAAGCACCTACAGCACCCTTCACTTCACTGTACCCTGCAACTGTCCCAGGATTAATACAGTCGCCAATGTCATCTGCAGGCTCGTCCTTCTTGACAATGGTGAGCACTTGAACTCTCTCATCATCATCACCACAATATTCATTTCCAACCAAAGTAACTAGAGCAGCCTTCTTGACAGGGTTCTCATCATCTGCACAGCCTTCAATTTCACTTTCATAGTCGACCTGCTCACACTTGGGTAACTTCTCCTGACCATCACCACTGGATTTCTCTGCATTTCCGGTGCCTCCATCCTTAGTTCCTGACACCGCTGCGCCGTGCGTCTCACCATTCCCCTGGGTGCTCCTCGCCTCCACAGCAACTGCTGGCACCCTATTCAGATTGATAGAGTGGCTCCTCTCAATCTTCCCCTCGTCTCCCGATTCTCCCGCAGCCTTATCCTCTTCCATTTGCTTCCCAGGATTAACT